TTCAGGGTTTTGGGTTTAGGGTTTCCTTTCAGGGTTTAAGGTTTAGGGTTTAGGGTTTAGGGTTTCCTTTTAGGGTTTAGGGTTGTTTAGGGTTTTGGGTTTAGGGTTTATGGTTCCTTTTAGGGTTTAGGGTTTCCTTTTAGGGTTTGGGGTTTCCTTTTAGGGTTTAAGGTTTCGGGTTTCCTTTTAGGGTTTAGGGTTTCCTTTTAGGGTTTGGGGTTTCCTTTTAGGGTTTAGGGTTTCCTTTTAGGGTTTAGGGTTCAGGGGTTTAGGGTTTAGGGTTTAGGGTTTCCTTTTAGGGACACACACACGCACCTTGTCGGCATACGTAGGGTACGTCGACGTGTAACTAGTATTATTAGTATAACCTGTGTTGGGCGCGATAACACTAACTAGTTATCTACTAGATAACCTTTGTTGGGCTTCCAACACCTGTGAAATGAGCGTGCCAAGCGACCCAAAATGGAGCGTGCTAAGCGACCAGAAAAAAAGTTGGCTAAGCGACCCCTTTACCCATCTCGCAGCGCTACGGCGACCTACAGTTCCGGTGGCCGAGCCGAGGAGCCGATGAGGACCAGCCGGCTTCCCGTTGTGAGCTCATGTCGAATCCATGGTGCGTTGACGCGTGCGTTCTGGAACTGGAACCCCGTGGGCTCATGGACCACGATGTCCAATGCTGTGCCCCAGACACCTTAGAGGTTTCACCCGTCACGAAAACAACCCTTGTGCACAGAATTGAAAAGTTTGTGCTGAAGCGGCTTTCTCCACTGGGCCTGCCGAGGCCCTTCTTATTGAAGTACTGCATAGTACTGAGCACTAAAGGGTCTGCATGTCACCTGGGCGCTCGGAACGAAATCGAAACGTAGATCGCTCATAGCACCCGCACGTCTCGCGAAGCCCACCAGAGAGACTGTCAAGTTGTCTAGTGTTCCGTAGACGGGCCAGCTCTCAGCCAGCCCTCCACTGAAAGGATATGGAGGACTGGTTCCGTGCCATAGCTCCATCCGCCAGTAGTCCTCCACTATGTCCGGCGTCATCACGGGGTTTGTCACGCTCATTTCGAAAGCAATTCTGACCTGCTCGCCCAGAGCAAGGCCGCGGAACTGGCTGCTCTCCATGACATTCAACTCAAGCTTGCACTGCAAGGGTGTCATTGTGCCTGACAGGTATAAGTTAGACCGGTAGACCGAAAACCCATGATGTAGAACATTGCTGAACTTAGCTGAGCTGAGCTGCAGTTGCAGGCCGGGGGAGGCGAGAGAACAAGTGGTCGAAAGGTTCCAATCCATTGGAAGTCTCGGCATCCGCCGTCTTCGGAAAGGAGGTCAAAGCCTGTCCAATCTGTCGCGAACTGCAACATGCAAACACATCCACTATAGCAGATGTGACCGGACCTGCGCCGGTTAAAGACGTAGATGCCATGCTCGGCACATGTTCGGCTCTGTTGGGAGAAGCCATCTCATTGCTTCTTTCTGCCGGTGAACCGTCTCAACATGTCTCAACACAAACATGACTAAGGAACTCGGAAAGTCTAGAGTCAAGAGACCTAGAGTCGCAAGACATGCGGCATCGTCACAGTCCGACAGCACGCTGAACTCGCGCCGCCAGGACTAGTGCTTATACAGACCTGATACAACGCTTTCGTGCAGTAAAAAAGCCAGCTTCCCCGGGTCCCCTGCATCGAGCATGGCATGCTGTATGCTTGGGGCGAAAGGCATTTGCCTGTTGTTATGAACCATTGAGTTGTTGATGATTGTTGATGGCAACTGACAATTCATGATAACTCAAACACCGTTCGCCGGGAAGCTACTAGGTGAAGCTCTTCAGTTTGGTGACCTGCCTGCTAGTATACCCTGCCCGTCCAAACAGACACATGATCGACGTCTACAGCATGGCAGCAGGCATCAGCAAGGAGTATGGCACTGTTGTACACTGCCTGGTGGCGGAGTGACAATGATTACATCGCCATTTCGCAGGACAGAGTTGAAGACCATCGAGACATTGATGTGTGGCGTCCGCACTCCTGTCGATATTGCAGGCGACATAAATCATAAATCATATCGCCATCTATGCTTTCCGAAGGGACAACTTTCAGCAATTGTGATCTCGGGATCATCAAGACTTGGTGGGAAACTTCCATAATTCTCACTTCGGGCCAGTCGTGTAGCAGCTCCCACTCCGAGAGCGTTGCTGACCGAATTCTGTAAATTTGTTTCTCACGAGCTGTCACGCGAGGGCCAAACGTGTTTGAGCATTAGCTACCCAACGACCAACCCACGGACGTGTTGCTCTCTGTAAATCTCCACAAAACCATGTCAGGCTGCGTCTGCGTCAACTCACGGCTGCTTTTTTAATTAATCCATTACAATATATATATATATATATATGTATACACATGCGGATTCAAACGACACATGGTACACCAGCTCTTTCTCCAGGCCACGACTTCATGAATTGTGCGGTCTGTGTGTCATCTGACAAGTTGCATCCCACGCGAATCTTCTGTCAGAACATCTGTTATCAGACACATGTCAGTTCAAACGTGAAATGACACGGTTGCGAGTTTATATGCCAGAAACTGTCAGACCATATCTTTAGTCTGAACCTGAACCAGGCTGCACATTGCATGGTGGATCTAGTTTTAAAGCTGGCAACTTGCACCTAATCTCTCAACAATGTCTCTACCAAGTGCTGACGGCTCTGCATGTTGACAAGAGACGGCTGATGCACATGTACATTGTTTTCATATTCGGCATGGCATCTTGATTGCATGTTGACCGGCAGACCCCTTCAATAACAACCATTCTAATCACTCGTCCTGCTGTGAATTCCTGCGCCGTATTCATGACCATAAACTCCGGTGAAGGTGCGATCGTTGGTGTTCCCGGAACATTGAAACCTGAGGATGCGTCGGTTTCGGGAACAACAATTGCAGCAAAAAGCCGCAGCCGAAAACGACACATGACGACAACGACAAGAAGAAAAACAACAACAATCACCACTGCAACCACAACCACAACCAAAACACGACAGCAACCTCAACCCTAACCATCCCTAACCGCAACAACAATAACACTTTAATATTGAACCCCTTCGAGCGGGCTCTGCTCCCTGCTGGCAAATCAAGCAACCTCGGAACGTGCTGTAGGGCCGTAAGCTAGCACCGCCCTTAGTATCAGACCTTCCGAACCCCCCCCAAAAAAAACGAAAAGCATTGCCTATTTAGGTAGACAATGAGGCTTGCATAAACGAAGTACGTCTGCATACTGTACAGTCCTGTAGCACTTATAGGACTTGTTTCAAGGAGACGGGTCTGTTTGCTGTTGTCAGATCACTGCCGAAAAGCAAGAAAGACTTTACAGCAACGCCGCGGCCCGAAATGGGCGGTGCCCATGCTTTTCCAGTCTCACTTCCGAACAACTAATTATGACTAGGCAACTTTTCAGCAATGGCACGGCTCTATACGGCCATCGGCACAGCGGCTAGCCGGACAGCACTAAAATCCCCACTGGCAGCAGCAGCAGAAGGCATACGGTTGGCAATACGGGGTGTTCGGGCTTCGATGTCAGTTCGATGCAGGGTTGAGTTTCTGGGATGTAAGCTGCGCCATCTTGTCCGCAATGGGGTTCAAAGTCATTGGGCCAGCGTCTCTGCTTTCTGCAATGCGGCACCAGCGAAATGATGGTCTTCAATGCCCCTCCCATGTCGCACTCTATCCCCGAAATATAATACCACGACATCAACACAATTGCCACACCAACTGAAAGACAATGCCAGTGCCACTCAGTCCTGACAAGCATGCTATGCCATCTCTCTCTTGGGCTGCATGCAAACACGCGGCTGTCCAGTCGAATCAGTTGGCCCGTTGCGACGAATCTTTTGAACGACTCGAGCAGCCACACCTTTGCAGAACGAGCAAGACGAATGCATGAACGACAAGGCCAACACAACCCCTGCATCCCACGTTCTGCCGGCGCCACATTCGAGTTGGGCCATGTCGATACATCGATATTCTTAACCACCGACTTCAAGGAGTAGGACCTCAAAGGCTCGAAAGCCTTGGCATTGATCAATGTGTACCTTGGTACAGCATGCTAGCACTTGAGTCACCATGCGTCACATCCCAAAACCAAAAGAAGAGTGGTCTGCTATGCATGTGTCAAATGTCGGCTGCCCTCTTGCCTCCGGAGACTTGGGGGGACTACATGGTCACGAATCTTGATAAGCAACCGAAACCCACTGCATCGTCGCAAGGAGGCTTGAATAAACTGGCTTTCTTCGATTATGAATCATTTCAGCTGGTTCAGACAGTCGCGTTGAGGTCATGCCGAGAAGCGTCAAATTGTCCAAAGAGTCCCCCGTAATGAAGCACGTGGCATCACTGGATCCGAATATACCTGTAGTGTCCCACAAGACCCGGTCCTGCGCAGCAGCAGTGAGCCGACCGACTAAGAGATGGGTGCCTCCTACCGGATTCCTACCAGTATCTGCAGAGCTGTGAACCTTGCGCTCAACCGATATCTCGATGCAAAGCTCGAAATCGCCAGCTCGGAATTGGAAGCCGGCTGGAGCAAGCAGTACCTAATCGGCTCAGAACACCACAGCGTGCCCACGACAACCAGTAGCTCGTCGCCAAGGAACGAGGCTGCCTTCTTCTGCGTCTGGCTCCAAGGGTGCTACACCGCCACCGAGGGGTTGCAACCGCCGGCTCCTAGCACTAGGCCAACTCTCAAATTTTGCCAAAGGCTGTGAGCTGTGAGCTCCCAAGACAGACAAACTGGCTGCGAGCACCCGAGACAAGCAACAAACAGAAAGCACAAACTGTAGGAAAACACATCAAACAAGGCTCCCAACCGACAAACGAAACGCTTATTCTCAACTTCCTGACAAAAGATCCGGCTAATCCAACCGGTATGCACTTCAGCCGAACATGTTGACATTTGCGAGCGCGAACCTGCTGAGTTGGGCCCAATGCTTCGAATCCACGGCTTACGAGCTTTATCAGCGGCAGCTTCGGTCAGGCTGCGGTGAATGTCGCCTTTTCGGCCATGAATGCGGATGAACTCACGCGACTCATCGTGGTGTAACGAATCTAGGAAAGATCAACGCAGCTAAACAACACACAAATAAGCAATCGTACACCATGCACAGCGCCAAGCAAGAGCCCAACCACTGTGCAAGCATCCCCCAGTACTACCACCTCTACCACTACCACTAGTGATTTCTACACAAGCACTACTACTAGTACAACTACCACTGCCACTGCCACTGCCACTGCCACTACCACTACCACTACCGCTACCGCTACCGCTACCGCTACCGCTATAGCTACCACTACCACTACCACTACCACTACCACTACCACTACCACTACCACTAC